CTCGGCGCTGCCGGCCCGTCCCCTCGGCGGAGCACGGAGCGCAGCTCGCTGCTCCCGCGGCGCCAGCAGCCCCCGAAACGGCGTTGTGTCCCGGTTCTCGTTCCCGCCGGCTCCGGTTTGGACAGCGGCGGGGAATAGCGGCATCTGCCCCGCAGCTGCGGCAGCGCTCTGGCCGTGGCAGTGCTGCGAGCGCCTGAACTGCTCCGGAAAGAGCAAACCCTTACAGTAGTTCTAATCAGGTTTCTACAGAAAACTTAACATTGCAGGAAACATTTATAAATTTTTTGCAGTATCCCTCGTCTTGGTCTAATGTTCGTCATTTTGTCCCTATTACACTTCGAACAACAAATTAGACTTGTGCTTTAAATAAATACACATTGGAGTTAGTAATTAGCACAAACTTCGATTAGAACAAGATTGCTTTAAGTGGTAATTATGTGGCTATTTTCTAAATTTCTTTTCAAGTGAACCATCTATTTCATATAGGTTTCAGAAAAGCTTGTTTGTGTGTGTGTGTGTGTTTTTGTCTGTGTGGAGTTTTTGAATAATTATTTCAAACCACTGAAAAATACTAAAAGGAGAAATGTCATCTGTAAGCAGTTAGGTTGAAGTGAATGATTCTTTCAGTCTGTTTCCTCTTCAGGTTCCAAATCTGTAGAAATAATCTGCGTACTTGAGACATAGATGGCATCCAGTATTCTATGTTCATTATCTTTTCTAAACAACTGAAGTCCTTAGAATACATGAGCTGATTATTTACTGATTATTGGAAACTCTGAGCCAGCTATGTTCCCTGTAATCCTTTAATTTTAGTAGAACAAGCATTGTATGTTAGAACTGTAAAAATAGGTTTAAGGAATTAATTCCTGAATATCATAGGGCTTCTAAACATACAGAAATGCCAATCTCATTCATAGTTTATGAAACTATCAGTAGAAGTATTTTTAGTTGCATGTTGGAGATCTATAGGCAGTTCACTGTTGTGAAACATCCAAAAAGGAGAAATAACATTATGCACCTTTAAAATCTTTACTAAAAATTTACTAAAAATTTCTTTTTCAGGTAGAGGTGAACACACCATTACATAAGCCTCTAATCAGATTGGAAGTCTCTAAAGACATAAAGGAAAACTCATGTAGAGTATTAAGAGTAGGATCTCTCCACTATCAATATTAAACTCTCTTAATATATTCAGGCACAGTCGAGTAAGCGGTGAGTAGAGTGGAAATCTGATTCTGAAAGATGGGTTGCATCCAGCTGCCAGCAACTACTGTGTTCTGTGGTGATTCTGTAGGAGCAAAACACATTATCTAAAATCTTATCCATGCAAATGCAACCTCTGTGTGTTTCTGTTGATTTCAAATTACCATTAAAAAAAAGAAAAAAATCAGTCAATTAATAGGCAGAACTTCAGAGGTCTATGCCTTTTGAAATGTGTGTTATAAAAAAATCCTGCTGTGAGTAACTGAGCAATCTTTTTTTTTTTTTGCCATATGGCCAACACTATTTCCTTTCCTTTTCACAACAGCAAGTCCCAGTTCTTGCACCGAGGTGACAGTATCCTTTCACAAAACAGATTATAAACCCTGGAAGAACATAGAACTGAAATGCAACCCCATTCAGGGATTTTCACAACCCAGTATTGATGTACCCAAGAAAGAATGGTGGGGAGACTATTTTATCCTCCTACAGAGACATTGGAAAAAGTGTTTAGCCCATGAAAGGCTTTAAGAAATACTTTGTCCCCCATGAAGGTATTGCCATAGCTGTGCCCTCCTTGAGCAAAGCTTTCAGTGCCTAATAGAATGACATGGTAGATCTGAGCTCATGCTCTCTATAAAAATAATATGATTTTTTTGCCTCTTTTAACTGAGTGCAAGATCAAGCAGTATGTAAAATGCAGGAAAATTTATTTTTTTTTCTTAACTGAAAATAGCCCACCCAAATGTCTGAGTTCACCTGTGCTCTGTCCTTATGTGATAGGATTTCTGTTGTCAGAGGGGTGGAGCAGTGGCAGTGTGGGGAGCTGGGGGCCCCTAAGACATCCCTTTGTATTTTTGAGAGGACTAGGGGCTTGGGCTTGCTTCCTCTAGTTTTATATCTGAGGGAGGGACAACATATTCCCTTACAAGCTAGCAAACCAACAAACAAAATGGGTGAAACTGAAAGTATGAAGAGGACTTCCTAGGATTAATCTTCTAGATTTTCTTGCAAATGAAACCCATTGTAATTTTTCCATGGAAGATAACACAGTTGTATTCTTTTGGTTAAAAATGATTGAGTAACTATGATTCATAGGACCAGGAAGCTATAAGCTGAGAGAAATTATGATCAGTTTATGTATTTTCCACTGTTTTTCTTTGCAATGGCAAGAAGGAGTATCACCAACATATATACTTTGTTGTTATTTAATAACCATTTTCTTATAAACAGATGAGAAGAAGAGATTTTTTTAACAGGAGGAAGGTAAAACTGATAAAGTTTCAAAATGGGACTTCAAAAATTCAGGCAGTATTTAGAAATAAAAGCATTTTGCTCCTGTGTTCCTAGCCTTGTGCTGTGAAGTCCAAGTGCTCCTGCTAGGTGTAGGTGGCTTCTTGACCATAACTTGGGCTACCAGATAGCTTGGGAATGTGGCCTGCCCTGCAGCCATCAGCAGTTGGATGTGCAGGAGATTGTTCAAGTCTGGTACTTTTCACACTCATAATAGTCTGTTACAAAAATCCAGGCTCCTCATCAGCACTCAAGGTAATCAATTAATAATGGTAGTTATTGCAAAGAGAATCTTCATGCTCTTTTTAATCTAATTTCCTGCCTAAATTGGAAAATACTAATTTCTTTAAATTTAGCACTGGACAACTTGAAGCTTTAAGAAAATGTTAATGTCAATGTTAATTTCATTTACATATTTTATAGGGAGTTTTACTTAAAAACAGTATCGGCTTCATTAGAGAACTTCATTCACAGACTGGAAAGTATAGCACAAGTCATATAACAGAACCTTGATAGAGGTTTTGCAATTTTCTAACTGCAGCACCCCAAAAAGTCTCCCTCTTGAAGTAAGTAGGATGATGCAGACCCAGTGCCAGAACGAGGATTTCATTGAAGTGCTAGTGAATTCACATGAAAGGCTTTTGAACAGAGAAGACTCTTTCTTCACAGGGTGGGTAAGGTAAATCCTAAATCTACTAAAATCTGACAGGTTTCATAGACTGACAACACAGCACTACTCCTAAATATGTGCAAAATAAAGCTATCAAGTCCAGTATAGCCCTATACAGCCCTGCCTGTCATGGTTTAATTATTGCAACTTTGGAAGTACTTACATATCTAAACTACTTTTTTCTTGCAGTAACTAAAAGTAAAGAAGTAGAAATATGTATGGTTAAACATTGGCGAGTGGACCGAGAGGAGAAATATGAAATAGTTGAAAAGTGGTTTTTGAAAGATCTTGAGATGATTGATGGAAAAGAAGCAGATACAGTAAGTGTTATATTATGTGTGGATGATGTACATAGAGAATATTTTTCTTGTTTTGCAAGTCAGGATACAAGTCTTAAAATGTATTGTCTGAAAAACAGTTATGCTACTAAGGAATTTTGGCTTTATTGCATGTGAGAGGCTCCACATCATGTTTGTACTGTTGGAGGGGAAGAGGAAGGCAAGATTTTTTTGTTTGTTAGTTTATTATAATAGCCTTCATCTCTCTGATTGAGATGTGAGGCAGAAGCTGGGTGTTTTCTAATTTGGTCATCATAACTGGTAACAAAATTCTCCATCTGCATCTTCCAGTGTAAACTGCAGTTAATGTAATAGATTTTAGAATGTATTTGAAAACAAAATTTCATTGAACATTTTTATGGAGACTTTCTTCTGAAGTGTTGTGCTAAAATATTCTTCAGAAATTATTCAGCCTTTCACAACTGGGATGATCAAAATCTGTCTCATTTTTGATTAAAGAGAAGCCTAAATGAACCTCAGACTCATGGAGTAATTAACACTGCTATAAATATTCATAATAGGTATTCATATCCGTAGAATTTAAAAGAATTTATCTGCTGCTAGGATTAATTGTGTCAAAGAGCCAGAAAGCACAAAGAAATACAACTGAGGCAGGAAGAGCAATCAATATACTTCTCCCACAGACATAGACAGTTATAGTACAAGTGCTTTTCATATACTGTGTTTTAGGCAACATAACAAATTGATTCAGTTCAAAACGAGACTGTACAATCCAGATAAAATACAGTGTATTGCTTGAGCAAACATAGAAAGTTTTACTCAGAAAAAAATCCCAGTGACAAAGAATTACAGCTGCTACTTTTTAAAGTTTTAAAAGACTGTTTAAGATGAATAACAGAGGTATGTGAAGTCCTTTAGAGCCCATTATATTGAGAAAAAGCCCTGCAGGTAGCTGGGCAGAGAACAACAGACTGCAATTCTAACACTGTAATGCATGTAGTAATTTCATTGTCTCTCTATTTTTATTTTTTTTTTATTTTTAGGATAATCCATATTTTGATATGCATTTCAACAAAGTCTACAATATGGAAGCATATAGTTGTGCATCTAAATATACCTTTGCTCGAACACTAAACGAACTGAATGCGATGTACCTTAAGAAGGACTTCAAGATTGTGAACTTTGATGACACCTATCTAAATGATGATTCAATCTGGTCATCCAGTAATAGAGATTTCTTAGTAGTTATGAGGGTTTGCTTCTATGCTTTCAACCTTCTATGCCTCTCACTCTGTCGTTTGTCCTAAAGATGTATTTTCTAACATTAAGGTGACTGATTGACTTTCACTGACCAGCATTTCATAAACCATCTGATCAAAAAGTTAGTAACCGGTATGCAGTGTCTCCTCTTTAATTTTACATGTAAGTAAAAAGTGGAGCATACTTTTTACATAAATAGTTGATAATTCATTTATATATATTAAGAGTTTCTCACTCTAGCAAATACTTATACATACAAGAGACTGGAAACATAGAACCAGTAATTGTCATGGTCAGTGGGGATTGCTTATGTAAGTAGAGCTCAGCATTTGCTTATATATTCATGGAGGTATAAATTATCTTTCATTATTAGCTTGAAATACTTTTGCAGCATTAAGAGCATTAACAGTTTATGTTTTGGAAGTAGGAGAAAAAAAAAAGTATTCAGTTGAGTTCTATATGAGAATGATGCACATTTCCAACTGTGTTGAAACACAGAATTCCATTAAAGAGATCACATCTACATCCCTTCAAGAATCCAGTTCTCATCCTGATGGATAGGAGTACTGCATTCAGGTACCATGGGACCAACTTTTCACCTATGCAACTATATTATTTTTCCCAGAGAACATTTAGTACTCCCTTTAGCCTTCACAGTATTTGTGATATTGTCTTAGAAAACAAATGTTCTTAAGCAGCATTGCTTTATTTGTCAGATCTTTCAGAACTTCCGTATCACTAATGTCTCCTTTCTTGCCCTTCATTGCTTATGAACAGGTGTAGTTAGGGAATAGAAATTGTCTCTATCTCTGAACCAAAATATAAGAAAATACTACATAAACAGTAGTTATTCACTACTACAATTACTTTGTAGGCAAGTGATAGAGTTTTCAAAATTCATACAATATTGATAATTATTTTCACCAGTTTTTAGCAAGGTGTAAGCATATTCAGTGCACTACATAAAGGCACATTAGTACTTAGAGCTACATTTTCTATGCGGTGGAGACTACTTGAGGGGTTTGGAACAGCTCACAAAATGTAGCAGCTGAACTTGTGATAGCAGCATGCTATGGTAGAAACAGAGGATAAGTTGCAGCTGTGTTGAACAGAAGCTGAAGAGGAACAATGTTAATTAGAAGCATACTGTTCCTGCCCAGTGTCAGTCAGCCGAGTTAGCTGGCTGTTCATCCCATGGTAAATAAAATAATGCCAACCTGTTGTAGGGAGAAGATTGCAACACCAACCCGAAAGAATCTCCATTCAGAGAAGCTTCTGGTCAGAATGTCCTGCAGGAGAAAACTAATTTTCTCCTTTGGCAGCCACGAGAGTTCAGGAAGGCAGGCTGGGGACTAGACCGGGTATGGACCTGGAGCTGAGTGATGTCAGCTCCCAGTAAATCAGAGTTTGTGTCCTCTCTCAGCACCTGCCATCTCTAAAATGGGATAGCTGTGCAAGGGTGCTGTGCTGTACTGTGCCTTGTACTTTGCTTTTGTCTTTCATGTGAACTCCCATCTTTGAAAATATTTGTGCAAATACGTTGTATTCCAAATTGAAATAACATCAAGTTAAGTGAGAATATATTTGAAAACCTGTAAAATGTACAGCTTTCTACTTTTTAAATGTTATCTTATTGCATGTACATAGGAAAGCCCATATCTTTGATTAGTTCGTATTAATAAATATTTATTCTAGGCATATATTGCAAATTACATTGGTTCTAACACAGATCTTAATAATTATTACTGTGTAGTAAGACAGCTCTGAGGGCAGTTTATGTGGGTAACACAAATCATCTGGAATTTTTAAGGACTTAGGTCTTAAATTTGCCACCTAAGTGCTGTTAGAGAGAAAAATTGTAATTTTAGTGATTGGTCTGGTCGCACAATATAATTGTTCTTTTGAGAATGTCTTTGGGATAATCCTGTGCAAGTAGCTGTGCTGTGATGTTTGATTATTATCTGCAAGAAGTATTCACCCAGCATCCAGGTTCCACAAAACCATCTTATATAGAAAGTATAATTCATGCTACTGCTCTCTATGATACATTGTCTTGTTTGAATTGTGTATTGGTTGCTGAGGTCACAATGTTTTCCACAATATCTACAAGTTCTTTGCTTAACAGGCACAAGGAAATGTTTCTGGGTGGAAAAGCTTTCATCATTCACCTTGTAATTGTAATAAACATAGAACTCTAAAAATGAGCACTTCAGAGCATTCTTTTGAAATAAAGTACATGCATACTGAATTCTTGCCCAATAAATGTCCTTGTCATTTCAGAAACTGATGATAAATAAAAAGTTACTATAATGTTCAAGCATATTTAATGGACTTTCATCGGCAGCTTACATGTTTTAATTCTTCTATGATATAAATATGTAATGGACTATATTGGAAGACATAAACCTGCATTTTATGTGGAAGAATATGCAATTCAAATCTCTCTGGAAATTCTTCTGTCTGATAATATCATATTTCAGACATTCTTAACTGATCAGTCAGTCTGAGCAAAAGGAATGAAAAAAAACCAGGGACAATGTAAATTACTTCATTTCCTGTCAAAAGGAAGAGTAGTTTAAAAGATCTTTGTGGACCTAATCTAGGGATTCCTTACTTTAAATGCAGTTCTCTATAAGATGTCAACTACCCAGGCACTGTAATTGCCTGTAAGTGCTCTGGGAAGTCTGAGGGACACTGTCACTTTGTGGTGAGCAAAGCACAGCTGCACCACAGGACACAGAGAATATGCTAAATTATGAATGGAAAAGACTCAACAGCCTAAATAGCTCATCTTTCAGTTAATGCGGAATTATTTCCTACATCACACTTCCTGACGTTAGATAAATGGAATGTAGTTTGAAATAAAGTATCTGGGGATTCATCTAGTTATCCTGGAAGAATTCTACAAAATTTGAATAGGAAGAAACTTACAGGAGTAAAGGATTAACACAAATGCTTCTGTAGCATTCTTTTAAAAGGTTTCAATTACATGATGGAAAGAATACATGAGATTGAGGATATAATGCAGATTTTCTTCAGAAGACAGGAATAGCTATTAGCCAAGTCTGTTCCAGAGAGAAGAAAATGAAGAAGAGTGATCATAAGCAAACAGACGTGAGTTATGTCATGCTCACATAACAGGCAGAAGCGGAGCAGAAGTTGTCATAAGATAGGTGTTTTTTTTGATATATATATATATATATATATGTATTTTTAAACACTCAAGCCAACATCAGAATTAAGACTATGGGAAAACCTAGAATTTATTTAAATTTTATTTATTTAAATTTTATTTATTTAAAGCAGAAATTCTCCTCTCCTACCATGGATAACTAATCTTCTCTTGAATCTTAAATTAAGCAAATACAGGTCAGTGCAGCATTTTAAAAAAAAGTTTTGGAAGTGAAGAGGGAACCTGTTCTAGACTGTTCCTTCTAGGTTCTCATACTTCTCCTTTGTGTTTTGGAGTCATACATGTACTAATGTACCTCTTTCCAACACAAGCCTATATTGCTTTCCCTTTTGCTACCTATTTTCCAATACCTTCAGTCACTTTCAGCATATAAATATTTTTCTAGTAAAGTGATTGTATTATGTATCATTAGTTAATATCTTTCATATGTAATTTAAGAATATTTTGTCATAACTTAAAGTCAGTATTGGAAGATCAAATACCCTTTTAAAAGAGCATCTGTGAAAAGCTGAAGTAGAGGGGGAGAGGATGGCACTGTGCATCTTGATAGATGATCTCACTTCAGTTTTAATGTGTAAACACATTTTAGCAGTAAAAAGTGCATTTTTCTGTGGTTTCTTTCTTCTTTTAGTACGATTAAAGCTAAAAGATAGGAAACTAGAGGGTTCTGCTAATAACAACAGCTTTATGAAACCTAGTCCAGTATTTTATGGCTGCCTTGTCCAGTCTTTATAGATCTAGACAGAGACAGTTACATTTTGTGGCTGAATTGAGAAATTACCAAATTATGACTTTCATTTTAACCATGGCCCTCATGAATTATATATTATAGACTTATACAGCATGTTGTTTTGTAAATCAGAAAATAAAAGTACCTTCAGCAAGCCTTAATTGGTCAGTCATGTTTAATCACAGAATATTCTGGGAAGGGACACACAAGGATTATCAAATCCAGCTCTTAAATGTATTGCCCATATGGGGCGCAAACCCACAATGTTGGTGATGTTAGCTGTAATCAACTGAGCTCATCTCAATTCTTCTGATTAAATGGAAATATGATACAGGAATTACAGAATCACAGTTCTACATGTTAGAAGTCCACATACTGGCAATTTAGAATAATCCCTTGGAAAGGATGTTTTCTGCTGTTCTTTATTGGTCATGGCCTCACAAATACATTTTATCAGCTACTACCTAAAGCAAATAAATCATACACAATTCAAGTAATCTGGAATGATTTCAGTCTGTCCTTAACTCTGCACTCCATTACATTAACAGTGCTAATTAGGTAAGTCTGTTAATCATGTGGAGAAGTTCTGCCGCAGGGAAGGTAGTTCGAGTTTTCACAGAATTCATCAGTGGCTACAAATTCTCATGGTTAGATGCCAAATCCTAAATCTAGTCCCAGTATAATTTTCCCATCTGGATTATCACTGACATCAAAGACTGTCAATTAGTCCAGATTCTTCTACCTAGGAGCAAAGCAAAAATCTGAATGCTGTTCATAAATTATGACCTGAACATGAGCCAGCAGTGCCCAGGTGGCCAAGAAGGCCAATGGCACCTGGCCTGTGTCAGCAATAGTGTGACCAGCAGGAGCAGGGCAGGGATTGTCCTCCTGTACTCAGCACTGGGGAGGCTGCACCTCGACTGCTGTGTCCAGTTCTGGGTTCCTCACTTTCAAAGGGAAATTGAGGTGCTGGAGTGAGTCCAGTGAAGGGCAACAAGGCTCATGAAGGATGTAGAAAACATGTCCTGTGGGGAAGAGCTGGGTTTGTTTACCCTGGGGAAGGCTCAGGAGGGACCTGACTGCCCTCTACAACTCCCTGAAAGGAGGCTGTAGTGGGGAGGGGTTCGGTCTCTCCTGCTGAGCCTGCAGTGGGAGGACAAGAGGAGATGGCCTAAAGCTCAGACAGGGGATATCCAGATTAGATATCAGAATTTCTTTTCACTGTTAGTGTTGTCAGGCATTGGAATAGGTTGCCAGGGGTGGTGGAGTCACCACCCCTGGAGGTGGTTAAAAGGTGTCTGGATCTAGTACTGAGTGATAAGGTTTAATGGTTTAGGGGTTGCAGTGGTAGTGCTGGGTGGATGGTTGATGACCCTAAAAGTCTCTTTCGACTTTGCTGATTTTGTGAAGCGCTGTTAGTCCTGATGCTGTGGCCAAATGGAATTACAGCATGCAGTCAGAGCTGGACATTGTAATTCGGAATTGAGATTGTTTAACACTGTAATGCACTGAATGCATCTTTTAACACCAAGCTAACCTGCATTTCTTTTGTGGACTCTTGTGTCCCCCAACAGACCTGCACGCCCTCAGTGCCTCTGACGTGACGTCACTCGAGAACGCTGACGTCACTTCGGCTCGCCCGCCGCGCCCCACGCCTCCCCGCCAGGGGGCGCTGCGCGGGCAGCCCGCCCCGAGCCGCGCGCCGCCGTCACGTGGGCGGAAGCCGTGGCGGGAG